GCAAGTATTGGACCGTGGACCTGGTACATTCCTATAAGTTTCGCCGGCATCGTAGTCGGCATCGCCAGTAAGTCCTGCCGTTCTAAGCACCAAGCCACAATGCGTCAAAGATAAACTTCATTTGTCTCTTTGACGAGTAACTGGGTGTTGACTTACTGGCGATGCTGGCGAAACATCTGAGAATGTACTAAGTATATGGTTCAAAGCTGGGAATTATAATAGCTACAACAGCAGAGAACTTCGTACAGGATGAGTCCAACCAAGTCGCCCTGACAATACGATCCAGTTGCGAAAACAAGGTCAGACTACTTTGATGCAATGAAAGGAGACCACTACCAAAATAGAGACCATAGCATCTTGGCTTAGGAGATTCATATCTGCAGGGTACCATTCTTTTAATCCTATGCGAGCCAAGAAATTAAGCCAATTCACCGACTGCTATAAATGCTGTATACATATTGTTGGGTATACTTTCATTTCGCATGAAAGTGCATGAAGAAGAGATTCGTAGGTCGATCTCACCAGAAGAGGACTGCTGAATCCCGTTGAACTGCAGCCATTTGGCTTTATTACGACGTTCATGTTGACGCAGTCCGCGAGACCTCCTCCCTCGTTTCGGGTGAAAACGGGCTGAGCTTTCGTCCATCAAAGGATGGACATAGTCAGAGCTAAGTCTCATTTCTGTAAAAGTCTCACGTTACCAAAAGGCCAAGAAGAGTATCAGGCTCTATATTACCTCTTATATAGATTCAATTGAGCCAAAAGAAAATTAAAAATGCAGGCTGAGTGTAACTTCCATTATTAGACTTAGTAACCTAAACATGAGTACCACATATTTTACCTTCGATGGTAAGTTATACGAACAAACACAAGGACTAGCGATGGGATCTTGCTTAACTCCCATCTTAGCAAATAATTATATGGCAAGACTGGAGAAACACTTCCTGCAAGAGGCAATACTAACACCCAAATTGTGGGCTAGATACATGGATGACTATTTCGTCATCTGGCTTCATGGTAAGAAAAGTTTGGAAAGTCTCATATTTTCACTCATTCAGCATGAAAGTAACATTAGGTTCACAATGGAGATGTGAGAGAATAAGTCCTTAACTTTTCTGGATGTTCCCATCATTAGTGAAGACGTAAAGTTAGGATGATATATTTATAGGAAGCCAACATATGTTGGCTCTGCCTAATTTTCTATGCAACCATAGTTACAAGACTAAGGTTGAGATTTTGAAGTCAATGATTATTAGGAGTATGAGGTTGATGGACGAAAGCTCAGTTCGTTTCCACCCGAAACAAAGGAGGACTCGTGGATTGCGTCAACCTGAACGTCGTATAAAAGCCAAACGGCTGCAGTTCAACGGTATTCGGCAGTCCTATTCTGGTGAGATCGACCTACGAATCTCTTCTTCATGCACCTTCATACGAAATGAAAGTCTCCCCAACAGTATTATCTCAGGAGATTCTTCAAAACCCAGTTTCTTTTCCTATCTACAATGTATCTATATATATTTATCCTTAATCTATGCTCTATGATGAAATAGAAGGCCAAACTTTTGTTTACAATGCCAGAATGCCTAGTCCCACCCACAATTGTCTTCAAGTGCAAAGTCGAGTCTCACACTCTCATCTGCCCTTTGAGCCAATGGCACCGGCGGCCGTGAAGCGTAGAGGCAACTTGTCGGGGTGCCAGCAAGAGTGCCTGAGCTGATGGTTGAAGACTTACTGACAGTGTCGAGAAGTAGGTTCGTCGAAAAAAGGCTAGCATGCATCAGAGGAACTCTGCGAAATGTTGCCAAAACACCGGCATATGTCGCATGCGAGGCCGAGACATGCCCGAAATGCACATGCAGACAATCCGACATGCCGACTCGCCCGGCTCCTATGGAGACTGGCAAGACGCAGAGTTGGGTGTTGGGTGGGCGGGTGGGGAGGGTGTGCTTGTGGTCGGAGTGATGCGTGTGGGGGAGGACATGCGGCCCCACGGGGCACTCAACCATTGGGTCCGAGGCCGGGTCCGTAGGCGCGGACACGCGAGGCGTCGCTATGCTCCCGTCCGGCGGGAGCGACCTGCACACTGAACGGGCTCCCCTTGACGTGTTGGTCGCGGTAGAGCACGTTCACTTGGTAGGGGCCCGCCTCGACTGGCAGGTACTCGACGCCACATGTACCATCCCCGTTGTCCACGTAGTCGATTTTCGCCTCCGCCGGACCCTCGATGGTTACGCTGAGCGGAGCGGGAGCCGCGTCTCGACTGTCGATGGTGAAGTGGGTCGGTCGGCCGGCCGTGGCGCGGCGCAATCCGTCGCCGTAGGCACGTACCAAACTGGCCGGATCGGCGGCCAGTTTGACCGCGCCGCGGACGCGACCCACTTCGACGGGCGCGATAAGAGCCTCGTTGGCAGGCGCCTGTTGCGGTACCGGAGCCACGGCCACCGTGTGGAAGGGACTGCCCTTGACGGCAATGCCGCCGACCTCCACCGAGACGGTGTAGGGCCCGGGCATCGTGGGCGTGAAAGTGGTCGCGAAACCGTCCACCGTCTCCTCCAGCGTGTGAGGCACACGCAGTCCTGACGGACTCTTCACGACCACATTCGGCCGCGGCCTCCCACTTCCTGCCGGCCCGGCTCCCACCCCGGCGCCGGCGGTGATTATGTCGAACTCGTGCGGTTTGCCCACGGGAATGCCTTCGCGACGAGGCGACACAAAAGTTCAGAGCATGAGAGGAAGTGTGTTGCAACGCCGAAATGCCAGAATGCCAGAAGCGTCTTAAGACTCGCCCGTCGACCAGTCGTCTTGCCTCATCTCCTCCATGCCGCCAGGGGGTTGAGTGCTTTACGGGCCCTTTAACCGCCCGGTCAGCCCAGCCCACAAGTTATTCTGGCACACTCAACCGCCCAGGGCTGTGGAGGCCCATCTGCTTTTGACAAGCCCCAAAGTGCTATATTCATTGCTTTGACAACTAAGTCAAGTCATCTCCTCAAATGTGCCCAATATCTCTTATAATACAGTTGAGCCTACTTCCATTTCGAAGTAGATGAAGAGATTCGAAGGGATACTCAATCATGAGAGGATTGAGGTATCCATCTGACCAGCTGTCGATTGACTTTACTGGCGCATTCTTACTGATGCTGTTTCCAAGGCAATCTCCTTCGATTCCAGTAAAAATGTGCTAAGCTATCGTCCGTCATATGGCGGACATTATCAGACCAGGGTTTCATCCTTTCGACCGTATTCCAGTTGATGAGTCAAGAAAAAACCGCTAGCTCATCCTCAAATGCTGAATCTATTCTCTATATCTGAGCTCTTTGATGAGGTATAAAGTGAGTTGGTTAGTTCCGGTCATATGTCAACCTCGGAGCAACTGAGTGTGTCCGTCTGTATTAGTGTGTGTGCCTACATGTGTTCGAATATGTGCCAAACCAACACACCAAATTGCTATATACCTAATCAAAGAGTTCGGAAATAACGTACAGATGAGCCGGTAAGTTTTCCTGACTCGTTAGTTGGAATATGATTGCAAGGATGATACCCTGGTCAGATGGTGTCCGTCATATGACGGACGAATGGCTAGCGCGTTTTCATTGAAATCGGAAACAGCATCAGCGATAATTTTCCAGTTGTTTAAAATGAATCCGCCATCATATTTTTGTCGGATCTACCTTCGAATGTCCTCACCAAACACCTTCACTCGAAATGGAATTAACTAAATAATTATGAATAAAGAGATTCCTCGAAACACTACTTTTCTCGGCATCTTTTAAAATAAACAACAATCAGCCGTCAATTATGTAAAAGAGGCTCAAGAAAAGGCTTGCGCCTTGGCAACTTGATAAAAAGTGTAAATTCCGTACTTGGCTCCAAGTTTTCTACGTGAATTTTGTTCATATCTACATTTGGTTTCACCGGCACCTTGAAAGGACTCCTTGGTACTTCATGATTGTCGAAGAAGACCTGCACCGTGTAGTTTGGACCCGGAGTATTGGCTGTATACGTGACCTTGAAGGTGCCATCACGCATGTCCTGCGTGTCCATGGCCACGTCACGTCCCAGCTCGTCGCGCACACTGATACCGACGTTGCCTGTTGGGAGGAAAGTTAGATATGCGATCAGGTTGTCCGAAAAGATTGCCGTGAACGGTGAAAAGACAATGCAAAGTCACAAATGTAGGAAATATACTCGGAATGGTGGAGGGAGGATCCTTTTCGTGGCTGTGTAGGCAGTCAACCCAGATCAACTCGGCGTTGGGCTGTGAACCGATGTTACTGCACATGCTTCGTTGCTTTTTTTGTAAAGCCGTCCCCACATTGTTGCCACCCTCAGACAGGAACAGCTTCATCCGTCGAGAGTTGCTATCCGATCGGCCACGATTATGCAACAGAGGCAATGGTGCACACGGACCCTCAACGAAAACCGCACCAGATGAACTAACTAAAGCCGAAAGCAGTTACCATAGCTACTGCTAGCCTGCCTTCGTCCAAAAGCAAGACTTAAGCCGGAACGACGTTCTCCATGGCAGTCTGCCAGGTGGAATAGGCATACTGACATTCAGGCCTCTATGCCGAAGTATGATAATGGGGTCATAGTGTGAAAAAGGGCAGGAAACAACTCGAAACTCATCAATTCCACGTGGGCCAGAGCGAACTGAGGCAGGCCTAGGGTGCAGGCTCAGTCGTCTTCATAGGTTGCTTATTTCTCCAAAGCATATCTGCCTCGAGGACGACCTTGGCCTCTGGGACCAGTAGAAAACGATTGGCTCTCAGCAGCGAGGAGGGCGAGGAGCAGAGACTTCTGGAAGCAGGACTTTAGACTATTGCTGTAGCTTTTATTGCCTATGCCATCCAGAAAGGCGCGTGGTGGAGGCAAGCGGAGAGTGTGCAGTGGAGAAAAGAGTAGAGCTGCTCTAGAAGCAAATGCACATGTTTGCTTCACTCCTCTATACGAGGGCGTTTACAAAAACAGACGCATAATCAGTGCTATTTTCCAGCAACTTAGGGACTTGGGCACTTCGTAATGACTATTTAAAGGCCACAGAAGATTCAGAAAGTAGTTAAGACATCGTCATAATCGGTGTCTTCATGTTGTCCTCATGGGGCAACATACGAATGCAATTAGCATATGGAGTAGGTGATTTTTATCGAAGCGAAAACGTGCTGTAGGTCGAATATAAGAAGAGCAACTGGGTTTCGAAGAATTCCCTAATGATTTATTTTAGCATGACTCGAAGAGAAAGTTGGTTCCGAGAAATTTGTGAATTGGTATCACCGGAAACTGAAGAATTGCCGAGAAATGAATACTGTAGAATGGTGCAAATAAGTCCTCGGCTCACCGTTATGGTGCAATCTTTCTTCGTAAATTATGGATTATTGCTCTGGTGATGTCTGCCATGGCGGTACAGAAGAAAGCTCTGCATGAAAGTGAGCCGAGGAATTCTTCGAACAATACAACAATCTTCATTCCTCGACAATCCTCCCTCGATTTCTGGAGGGTCAAATTCACGAATTCTTTCCAACCAACTTTTCCTTCTAATTAGAAAGTCGTGTCGCAATGTCTTAGCTCGTCAGGTCTCTCTAACCTCTTACTTTGGGCCAACCCCGAGTGGATTTTATTAGCAATGAAGCCTTAAACCAGACAACATTTGGACAGATTAGGGTTCAGACTAAGAAAATTAACCATTTGACTTCACAGAATACATAAAGTTGGTGGCAAAACATGATGCATCCAGAAAAGGCATACCTCAGTGTAAGCTCAAAAGTGCTATAATCCGGACAAAAAGAGGTATTTGGTTTGCAAACCATCAGGTAGGATGGTGGCCGTGTATTCTTCTCCCTTAGCTTCAAAAATGTTTTATCGCCTGCGAAATATCAAATCAAGAGCCAATTCATTGAAATACCCCACGATGAATCAGAACAAATCAAAGAAGAATTTCGCTCTCCAATATTTTGGATATAATGATGATAGTTTAAAAGCTCACAGAGTACAAGATTATGAATAAAACGACTTTAACGGAAACACCAAATATTGTGTCCCTTACTAAAGTAGTCATGGTAACTGCTAGAATTGGATCGTTTACCCGATATATCCCAAACGGTTCGCCTGCATTATGAGGACTTGTTGATAGGTGGTTGCTTGGTCCTAAGGCTGACGCTTTACTTTCACGATGGCCACCGCGATACCGGCGAAATGACTCGTAATGTACAGAGTCACTGGTCAACTACTGGGAATTATCACGAGTAAGTTCGCAGAGGACGCATGAACGGATCTATTCTTCAGGGTCTCCCTGCCCACCCTACTACCAAGACGTGGAAATTAGGTCAAACCAATTCTATCCAGCGAAGCAAAGCCGCAACCAAACTAAAGATAGCATCATTTACTTATCATATTAACGAAAATAAATCCTATATAAAAGTTTAAATCATAAAAAATAGATTACTTAAGAATGGTCATTTTGTACAAGTGAGCAGACGATAGGTGAAAGCAACATTTAACCTGTTAGCATATCAACTATACTAGTTACCTATCATTCCTACTCACCCATGTAGGCATGTAGATCATCTAGCCACATAAATGACCCAGAGTATCTACTCATTTGTTCTAACCAATAACTGATATTTATACATGTCCATCTATTTATATACATATAAAAATACTTATAGACTTTATCACGCATAATCGCAACCGCCTAGTTACCTAGCTACATAGCAAACTAAGCGCTTAATCCCCAAAACCGTGGAATTCAGGCCTAGTGAACGAACAAATTAACTATCTACTACCTAACCACCAACCCAACTGTTGATATGTCCATATTTATGTGTAGGCTTGTAGCACAGTAGAACAGAAAAGGCGATGTTTCTCATCCGACAATGATAACATTATATGAGATGTATTCATCCTATTTCGTTTTAACGTGGTGAAAGACTGGTAGAATTTTCCAAAAATGATATGAGTATGGCTGACGTTTTCATTGAATTTCACATAGCCTTGCTTTTCCAAAGGTTGTTCTCATCCCCGCTGAAGTGGACTGCAATTTCGACCTCGTATCGGTCTTATCAACACCCCCAGCGGGAGTCGAACTGTGGCAGTACAGCATGTAAGCTTGACACATTAATTACTCAGCCACATTCCCACGACTGCCCTTGGGTCACAGGGCAGATGTGAATTTCAAGGAAGGCGACGCCTTTTCCCATACCAAATTCTTTGATGGGATTGTCGAGTAAGCAAACGTATTTTTGCTATAATTACTTATTTTTTGTATGTAAGTAGATTTTCGAGACTAGCAGTAAATCAGTTATATGAGAGGTATTCACCCTATCTCATATAGTTAATTTACTGGTAGTCTCAAAAACTCTGCTTATATACGAAAAATGATTACATTGTGGTTCGCAAACGGAAAGTCTGGCGATAAACAAGTCAACCGACACCTTGACTACATATGGGCGA